GGGGAGTCGGGCGGTGGCTGGAGGTCAGGCTGCCAGTCCAGGCTCTGTGGGAAGAGCTGGTACTTACGGGGCCTGGAAGAGGAAGACTCTCCAGTCAGCTGTCTTCAGCTTGAGCACATTGGACTTCTTGCTGTAGTCAGAGGCTTTTGTGGCTAAGGCGTGGTGCACACGGATGGCGTTTTTCAGATCTACTTCAGAGAGGTCTTTGTCAGGTTTGTATTCATCCTGTGAAGAGGAACGTTAATTGGATAATGACAACACTAACATTTGCAGGCTACTTCAATGAACCTGCTTGTCTCTCTGTGCTATAATCACAGAGTGCCGAGACCAGGAAAAGCACTCCTTTGTACAGTAAATGCTAGGAGCTGATAATGATAATAATTAACATCTGGCAACTTCTTCCATCATTAAGTTCTGGGAAGATGTGAAGAAGGAGATGAAAGTTTTAAACATAATTATCAATAGTTATCTCTAACATGGCACACGCCTGAGGCTTTGGGGGAAGGCACAAGACAGAGCCACGTTTCTGCAGAGCTTCACCCACAGTGCAGAGCTCAAGCTGGGATTCAACTCCCAGTCGTCGGCAGGTATCAGCGAGCACCTGCCCTGGTGCTGCAGCTTTGTGTGGCTGAGGATCTGGGTTTGGGTTTTGCATGTCTCAGGCAGCCCTGGAACAGCAGCATGCCTGCAGCCAGTGCACTTCCATGCAGGTGTGGGGCTTGCTGGGCAGTTGCCAGACTGAGCATGGCCCACCTGAACCATGCTTGGTCCCTCTTTAGTACGTGTGCCCCTTTGGCATGGTCTCTCATGTAATTCATTAGACTGGCACTTGCAAATTGCAGCAGCATTCCCTCTATTCCTGCTTTATGTTCTCTACTGAAGATCAATTTCACACAACTAGGGAATGTAGTAATAACTATATATGCATATATTCTATAAACAGATAGAAAATACCAAACATGGGATTCTGGAAGGATGATCTTGGCACAGCACTTTTTAGGAAAAAAAAGGAGTTCAATCAATCCTGTGTTTACCCTTTGCATTTCCAGTGACTGAGCTCCCAGCCACTTAAAGCGATACCCTCCCTCCTAACTCTGCACCCTTGCCAGCTCAACAGCTGGTCCAGCTGGGTCATGGGAGGGAAGGACAGACAGATGGGTGGATGCATGCACACATGGATAGGTTGATGTAAGAAAACCTGGCCCTGACTAAAACAAACCACCACACCACCACCCCAACAATGTTGGAGGCCATGTCAGGAAAGGGTGTCCCTGGAGGGCCTACCTTGCCCTGCAGATTACAGTGCAAACCTACAGCACTAATTCACTCTTATGTTTTGCTGTCCTTGACTGTCCTTGGCTGTCAGCACAGGGGCGGCTCTGTCCAATGGTGGTGGTCTATGTGTCCCAGCCCTTCCTTAGGTTTCAAGCTAGAGCTTGGTCTGTTCTGCAGATTTGCAAAAAGATGTTTTTTTCCTGTGTCCTGGTGGTACAAATCCAGCCGTTCAGGGAAAAGCCATGCTACAGTCTCCTGGTTGCTAACCCTGGTCAGTAAGGCTGTTCTCTAGTGTAGGGTCAGAAAGGTCTCCCCTCTGTTGCTCTTCAGAGCACCAGGGACCAGCACTCCCCAGCTCACCCAGACCCTTGCTCCAGATGGGAAAGAAGATTTTGAAGCCTTTCCCTCCCTCCTTTTTTGAAGCAATCATTCCATCCAGGACAGTGGTTGCCATCCTGTGTTCACCAGCACATGATACTTGGCCTTGTGCAAAGAAATGCCATGGGGTCCAGGGCCTGGGGCCCAGGACCCAGAGCCCAGAAATGTCTGGCATGTGCTCCTGGCTCATGCAACTGCCTTCTTAAGGGTGCACCCCAAAGAAAAGCCCTGGCTTTACAGCAGAGGAAGGGGTGGGTGCTGCAGGCACCCTGCATTCAGTGTGACATTCAGATGGGCTGCGCTGCAGGGCAGTATAGATGACCTTTCCACAGTGGGATTTCAGCAGCCAGAGGAATGGGCTCAGTCTTTTAACAAAGAAAAACAAATGCTTTGCTTTATGAGGACCTAATATGCCTATATCTCTCCCACTTGGAGAGAAATAGTTGCTTGAGGAAGACATTGCTGCTGAGGCCTCATGTATTGTAGAGAGACTTCCAATTCTGATGTTTTTCTGAGGCTGAAGGTATTTGGATCTGAATAAATCTGACTGTGATGCCCATGATCTCTTATTTCAAGATAAGCTTTCTGAAAATACAGTGCAAATAGCTAGACTTAGTGGCATGTGACATGGAGAAACCACCACAGTTGCAAACTGGTTTGACTAATGCAGATCTTCACCTTGAATGGTATCATGTATTGCCTCCACTCATTTCAGGCTCACAGGCATCAATGTAGGTGTAAGGAAAAGCCAGATCTTCTTCTTTTTCTAACACTGGGCCCAGTAAATCAGCATAAGGTTGCATCAAGAAGGTTCTCTCTACCTTCTGCCTCCCTGTTGGTGGAAACAGGCTGCATTTGCAAGAGTGCATGGTGTTGGAGGCTCATTTCTGCATGGTCTGGCTCTGCCAGGAAGATCATCTTAATGCCTGTGCTGCAGTAGTCATGATGATATATAGGTACACCTGCCGGTGCTGGGAGACCTCTGTGTGCTCTTAAACAGGCACCCTCCGCAAACAGCTCCAAGGCTGTATGATGCCTTGCACACATGGCTGGAGCCATCACAGTGCCCAGCACTTACACCGTAGTGTAGGCTACACCATGTAGCCTTCCCCTGGAGAATGATCCCATTGCTCTTTAGCAAAGCATGTCAGCTCTGCTCCAAAGCCTCCAGCAGCTTCTCTACATTTTCCCTCACTCCCTTTCTGAGCTTTGGTGTAAGTTTAAGTGTGTGCATAAACTGTTGCTGAGGAAGAGACGTGTCCAAAAACATAATAGTAACACAGATGCTTTCAGTGAAGGGATTCTGGTTTAAATCTCAAAGAAACCGATTTATACTAAAGCATAGGTAGTATCATATTTGGAGGAACTTCAGGCAATATTTTGTCCATGCTATAGTACTGCTAACCTCACTTTCACCTTTTTCATGGTGTTATCCTGCCATACATGTCCTGCCAAAGGGGTTAATTTGGTATCACAGGGCTGTTGAATTTTTGTCTTGTGTCCTGCACTGTTCACACAGGTACTTGTCACTGGAAAATGGGCAAGGTATGCTGTGCCACACCATTCCAATTACCCTTAGCCCCCAGCCCTTGAATGGTGACATGTTTTTTTTCCCTTGTTTCTCCAGGTGGGGGGTCAGCAATTTTCAGGGTCTGTTTTGGGATTATCTTCTGCAGGAATTGAGCCCACATGTGGATGCTTTGTTTTGGAATCCCTCTAAATTAATTTTATTCACTTTCAGCTTTTAATGTTGATGGTGTAGACAGACTCCCTGTTCATGTGCCTCTCCTGCCTGCACAAAGGCTCTGCTTAAATGTGCACAACCACCCCCTTGCCTGGGCTTAGTTCTGCCATGGCAGTGCTCCATGGTGTGTTTGGTTCACTCTTCTGATGCCAGCTCTCCCCTACTGCCCACCCCTGTGAGCGAGTGGTGGGAGATTCACAACTAATATGAGCTCCCCAGTTCAAAGCTTGTTTTGTCAAGAAAAGGCATCAATCTCTTGTGCCTGCCTTCATATGGCACCTGGATGGGGTGAGAGAGACAAGTGTATTGGTCCTGCTGCCCTCTCCTCTGGACTCAGCACCAGCCCTGAGCAGTGATGTGAATATGGACATGGAGCTATAAAGATTTCTCATGCTCTGTCTTGTGAGTGGGTTTTCCTCTTTTTCCTTTTCTTCAGCTCACATCTACCAGCCTAAACAAACCATCTAATCAGGATAACTAACACAGCACCCTTTTCAGTCAGGTCATGAACTTGGCACTCCAAGTAACACTACCGTGGCAAGAGCCTGCCTGCTTGGGACAGCATCCGTGGCTCAGGGCTGCACTGGGAACTCCTTCATGGTTGGGGGCTGCAAGGGCAGACCCTGCGGGAAGACCTGCACCCTTTCTAGTACTTCCATATAAAATCACCTCATGCTTTATAGCTCTCCATCATTCCTCTCAACACCCCTCTATGTGTGGTGATTAAGGGTTATTATCTCCATTTCACAGAGGTGAAGTAAGTTGCCAAAGGCCATGGAGTGAGTCAGTGCCCGCTGTAGATTAGAGTGCAGGAGAGGTGCACCCTGCTGCTAAGCCTGCATTTCTTCCTCAAGACTGTGCTGCATCCCTTAAGGGGATCAAGCAATTGCTTCAGCAGACTATGCTAGAACACGCTAATCTGGCAATTAACACTGGCAAGTCAATGACATGCGACATCTCTACACCAGCAGGTTTATGGCTGCTGCCTGAATTGCTTCTAACAGACTGACTTCTACCTGTCCACCCACCCACTCTTTTGCCTCTCTTATGTCCACCTCTGTACCTGGCCATTCCTCCTTTCTATACATCTATCTCCCCAGGCCCTCCTTCCCCGCCTCCTTCCCTCTCTCTCTCACTCTTATTTCTACTCAACTTGCTCTGCAAAACCAAATTGAGTAGAGTTTCCCATTAAACTTATGGGAATTTCCTATTAAAGCCTAGATCCTTGGTTTGGTCTGCGTGAAAAAACAGAACAGGCTGAACCTGTGCTCTATGGTGTCAGGTGGGTCCGGAAGCAGGTACTTTCTCCTCTGTCTTCACATCAGAAAATCTTTTCCCAGTGATTTGTGCTCAAGCCAGGTTCTACCTTATGTTTATCTGCAGGCATCTTCTACTGAGCGCTTGTGAGGCTGGCACACCATTTTCTTCCTGTATTGTGCAACTCTCTTGTTCTGCAAACCACCCCATAGGCAAGAAATTGCACTAAGAATCAACAGGGCAGGTGGATGTTTATCCACTCTGTTGTGGTGCTGGGAAGGTTTGGAAGTGGCAGGGCAAGGACTTTTCTTCGTGGTCTCATCCTTATGTCCTGTCTCTGAAAGCCTGATAGACACTGTCTACAGCCAAGCCCAGCCCAAGGAATCCTCTGAAGAGAACCATATACATTCTGGCAGCAGTTCATGACTAAGAAATATCCACCCAAATCCTTTGCCCAAATGTTCCTCAGGTTAATTTTTGTTGTTGTTCGAAATGCTACTTCCTTGGGGCACCCTTGGCAATTCCGGTCCCTCCTGCTAATTACACATCAGTCACGGCTGTTATGTATCAGACATTTTCATCTTAGGTGTTTTTCTTCTTCAGTCCTTGTCCGTACAGAAAGCCCTTAGTCTCTTAACCATTTGCTCCTGAAGGTCATCTAGATAAGAACATTGGTCTTCTAACTGCCACATCAATCTCATCCTTACTCTCTTTTTAAATTCTAAACACCTAGTACTAACATAATGAACTATGTTAACATAGCAGTCTGGATGGTTACTGCTGCTAGCCTTGTGCAGCAAAGAAAACCCAACCCCTCTGCCCCATCAGCAGCAATGACACTCAGCGTTGATTTCACGGCTCCTTCTAGTGCTGTCCAAGCAGTCAAGAAAATCTTCAGTAAACTGGATTTTGGTCCAGCATGGGAAGAAAATTCTGTCCTGAAAGTGTATTTCATTCTAAATATATACCCCCTCAAAAGACTCATCCCAAGAGACATGCCCTAGAAGTCTTCAGTGAAAAATTCATTTAGATCCAAATGATTCCTGTGATTTTGATGAAATTGCATATTTTTTCCATAGAAAAACTGCCATAAAATTAAATGTTGATGGTAGCTCTGTACAAGTTAAATCCTCATGCATCACCCATAGTCAGCATGAGGACCTCTTTGGGGAACTCCATGTGGAGACTTGTAATGAGACAACAGACTGAGATGTAAGAAGAGTGCCACTGACTTGAAGAATGCCACACTTAGAGGGCTGGAGAAGATCTGGGCTCTCCTTTATGCTGCAGCTTCCCTCAGCTGCAGGAGAGAGTGGCAAGGGTGTAAAAATACCACTTGGCTAAGAGCAACCCATACTGCAAATTACTTTCAGCTGCCAGATTTCTGTTGGCTTTGTAACATGTGCCATAGAATCTGGCAAATCACAAGAATCATTAGGGTGTGCTACGAGCTCCGAGTCATAATTCCATGCTGCCCTGAGGATCTTTCTGCCTTTCTTATATAATCCAATGTTTGTTTACTCTCATTGCTTTGGAGATAATACTGCAGTACATAAGAACATCTACCCACAGGGAGTGCTGTTCCAGCAAGGTGAGCTCAATGGGTTATTGTACAGCATGTGCTACTAAGGTAGTTCAGACCTAGTTCAGTGGGTTATGCTGTTGCATGATGAACGGACATTTGGCATCCCTGGCTGGCTCACACTGACATTCAAGTGAGCCCCTATCCAGGCTCCTTGGATTTTCCCACAGAAAATACTATCTGTGGAAATCCTCCAAGCATCCAAGTGTCTTGAAAGGCAGAGATCTGAGCGCTATAGCATGCAGGGAAGCTCTTCCATGGTGACTTTGCCTCCCATGAGGACCTGGGATTTATACTTGTGTTGACTAGAGGTGGCTACAGAATGAACAGAGATGAAGAGAGGCAGAAAGTGTCACTGGCAACCCATGGAAAGACCCAGCTCAGCAAGGTCTTGAAGGAGAAGAGAAACTTTAAGCATGGTCCATACCAGACTCAGTGAAGCTGCTCATAATCAGATCTATGCCAGCAAATAAAACAATAGGCAGGATAAGACTGGTCTGATGCTCTGCCTCTTCAGCTTCCTATTGCATGTCTCACCAACATCCTACTTCACCTATTCCATATCACCTGTTCATTCATCCTCCCTAACAGCTCCTATGTGCTGGGACATTTCTGCAGAAATCTTGCCTCAATGTTCCCTCTTTCATACTTCTTCCTGTACGGCCCTCTTTTGATGCTGTCAATAGTGTCCTTAGCATGAACACCATCACCAAAGATGACAGCATCCTCCAGTTCTGTGTACTGGTCTCTTGGAGGAGCTCTACAGATGTCCATGCATGCATCAGAACATGGATTCACTTCTACTTGCATCTATGGGTCTCCTGCTTAGGACAGCATGACTGCTTTGGAGACAGCATGAAACAGCAAATGGGATAGTCCACCATGGTTACCTTTTGTAAATAAAGGACGGTCCCTTTAAGCACAGCATAAAATTTCTTCCAACCTCTTCTTCCTCTGGGAGCTAAAAAAGGAAGAACATTTAATTATACACGTCTGCTTCTGCCACTGCTGCTTGACCTTCACATTTCTGGCAAAACCAACCCTTCTTCTGACCCACCACAGGCATGCACTGATGCCCAGACCTCATACACCTCCAAGCTATTGCTTATGAGTGGCTTGTCTTCAGGGACATGTGTTTGAGAGACATGGGTTGGGAGATGCAGCCTCCCAGCAGGAACACAAGCAGGTCAAAACCAGAGATGAGCTGGCATAGGGGTACCAGTGGACACGTGCAGGAAGTCTCTGCTCCTCCAAACCCAGGTTCATGTTCCTTGGACTAAATGCTTGGGGAGCAGAGACATTCCCCAAGCTCCTCTGCTTCAGATGAGTTAGGCAGACATACCCTGGATAAGGCAGCTTCTGTTCCACTGAGGAGGGAGCATTACCATCAGCCGTCTTGATGGACTTGGGGATAGAGAGCTTGCTGGAAGCTTGAGAGGGGCAGGAGGTGAGAGGAGCTGTCTACATCACTACAAGACAGCTGATCCTCCAGGCGTGGGCTATTAAGAAAGCTGGAAGTGTGGGCTGGAAGCAAGATTACCTTCAGTGGTAATCTCTACTCAAGACTTCTAATCGGCTGCAGTGACTGGGCCAATCATATCAATTCGCAAAAGGGGTTATCCAAGGTTTCATTAATCTCTGCTTATGAACAGTTCCCAAACATATTTTTCTTCACCTTTCCTGTAATCCCATATGCTGACAGCAGAGCTATGAGGCATCCTGTTGCCCAGCCAACACACGATAGCTGTTTCCAGCACATGGCAGAATATGGACAGGAGTAAAGCTTCAAAGACCAGACTGTCCCCAAGATCACGGCTGGGGTTGACAACTGTTGTGGAACCAGCTTCACCCCATTGCTCAGAGTGTGGGATTCAGGACTATGCCCATGAGCAGGATGGAAGACCAGGTCTATCTGTGTGGGACAGGTACTGATAGGTTCCTTGGCAGTGAGAAGGGAAGACTGAGGCCTCCTGAAAACATTCTTGTCTACAAATGCCTCAAAATACCCTCCTTTCCCTGTGCCCTGGCACTCATGGATCTAGGGATCTCTCTTGAGTTCCCTGGGATGTGGTGAGGAAATGCCTTCAGCAGGAGAGCCAGGTAGAAGGCTAGGGCAAGGCTCTGGTACTGCCTGGGGCACATCTCCTCCTGTCCCGTTAACACATACTTCTCTTCCCATCCATGTCTGCATGGGTTTTACGCGTGAGGACACCGTGCTTGTAGGTTACTGCATTCAGTGCTTGGGGGATGTCCAGGAAGGGGTTGCTGCTGTCAACAATCCTTGTCACTTTCTTCGCACTGGCTCCAAATTTGTCATCTACCAGCTCCGAGAGTGATTTCCTCAACTCGTCCTCATCACTTGGAAACAAAGTCAGAGAAAAGATTGAGTGGAGGACACATGGGTTGGGTCACAGTGTGCCCTATCTGCTTTGTTTTTAAAGAAAGTTATTTATTACAAGACTAGTCAGAGAAAGACTGCAACACACAGAGTGTGCCAATGGTGGTGATCTGGACATAGCTGGGAGGAACATGAGTAGCAGGTAACTGTCCCAGCGGTCCCACTGTGAGGTTAGTCAAAACAGGTAAGGGAATGGGTGCTTGTCTGAACACCAGGAAACTGCAGACACACCACTGCTAAGGACTACAAGTATTTCACAGGGAGAGTCTCCAATTCTATGCCCTACAATCAGAGCTTAAGGTCTGTTGCTGAAGAACAGGTATCACCGGGGTTTCCCAGTCTCTGAGAGGCAGCCCGTGTGGCCTCCTAGATACTGGAGCAGCTTGAGGAATGTCCTCTGCATCTCTGAGGAACAAAAGCTCTGCAGACATTAGGAAGATGGGCCACTTGATCAAAAAACACAAACCGCGGAATAGGTTATACTTCAGCTCCCCATCTGTGTCCTCAGGGTCAGCCAGCAGAGAGCAAAAAATGCTGGTAATTTCCATAAAACCTGCTTCTCCTCACAGATGTCCTGGTTCTGGACCCTGGACAGCAAGGACTGAGCAGCTTAGGGAAGTGTCCACTGACTCCACCAAGCCTGCCTCTTCCTGTTTGGAGTAAAACCTACTCTGGCACATAGAAACTAGAACTTGCATGGGAAGTAATATTTCCCAGTGTCCCTGGGACATTAAGGAGGGAGAGCAAATGGGGAATTTCTGCCCTGTGTGATACATGTCAATGTCTAAATGGTATGAAAGGTCACCTTAGGTTGCAGATTAGATTGGGACCAAACCTCAGCTGAGCAGTGACCCAGGGATGAATCCACTTAGCTGGGATGTGAGCAGTAAAATACCACACTTCCCCACCTGAAGCAAGTAGATGGCCAAAACATCAGACACCTCTTGGAAGAGAAGGATGATTACTCAGCCATCCCTCAGCACCCACAGGAGTCCTGGAGCTTAGGCAGAGCCCAGACACTATCCCTGGGTGGGGAGTTAGTGGGGTTCAGTTCTCTGAGCTGCACCAGAGGGACCCCTCTGATCTCCTGCTTGCTGCTGGGATGATGGTCGTATACCTGTCTGGTTGGGCTTCGTGAGCAAGGCCATTTAATTCCCTGGGATGGACAAGAACAGAAGGCAGAGGCAAGCAGGGAGAAGAGGGTCTTGCCTGTGTAAGGTTACGACTCTGTGCTATGTCTCTGAAAGAAAACCAGGTACCCCACGTCAGGGAGCATCTGTCCCACAGTAGAGGAGCTGAGAGGTCTCCCGTGTTGCAGCCTGTCCATCTGCAACCAAGCAGGACACCCTATGGCAAGGCAGGTCCCAGGCTGGTGTGGGGTGAATGGGGAGGTTACAAGGATACAAGCAGGGTGGGTGAAGGAGTGCAGGAGCGGGGCTGGATGCTGCTGACTGGAACTGGACCGCTGCAGCGGGAGCCCGCGGGGCTGAGATCCCTCGGATGTGCCCGAACCAGGAAGCGTGTGCTGGCAGGCATTGTGTAACCACTGCCCACATCCAGCAAACAGATGCACTTCGGCTGATCTCCTCTTACATAAACCGTCCCACTGGCACGTTCTGCGGAGCTACAGAGCTCCCTCTTGTGACTACGTCCACCCGCATACCCGGCCTCTGCTGCAGAGCTGGCGTTGCTGCTTTCCTCTCACAGAGATGCACGCAAGATTATTTTTAAAATGTAATCAATGCTACATGATCCGGTAAGAAACCACTGCCCTTCCAGGGCCACCAGCTGGCTGTGTCCCTCCCAAAGGAGACACTGGCCCACAGTGAACACTGCTGCCATCAGGGCATGGCTGGCAATGGAGGCTCCTGCTCTGCAAAGCTTGGCCCAGGTAGTTGGGGAGGAAGGTAGGATCAAACCGTCTCCAGACACTGTTCTGGCCAGGACAATATGAGGATGGAGCTAATGGCCCAGAAGGTCCTGCTCAGTCGCATGACACTCTGGAGACAAGAGAGGTCTGAGGCTAAGGGGAAGAAGGGAAGGGAAGGGAAGGGAAGGGGAGG